ATATATATATATATATATATATATATATATATATATATATATATATATATATATATATATAATCATATAGAAGTAGGATTTCTAAATCTTATTGGATTGCTGGTAATGCTTTTTTTAAAAAAAAAATGAACATTCATATTATTTTTTTAAATAACTATGTTGATTTACATTCCCAGGAAATAATAGACCAGGATTTTATTTTCTCCACATCCTTGCCAACACATCTTTCATATTTATTTTTATTTTATTTATTCTAATTAGTTATATGTGACAACAGAATGCAATTCAATTTACATTACACAAATAGAGCAGTTTTTCATGTCTGTGGTTGACCACAAAGTAGAGTCATACCATTTGTGTTTTCATACATGTACTTAGGGTAATGATGTTCTCTCATTTCACCGTCTTTCCTATCCCCATACTCCCCTTTCCCCTCCTTCCCCTTTGCCCTATCTAAAGTTTGTCTATTCCTCCTATGCTCCCCCCATACCCAAATGAATCCCCATCCTTATATCAGAGAAAACATTGGGTATTTGTTTTTATGGGGGACTGGCTTACTTCACTTAGCATTATATTCTCCAACTCCATCCATTTACCTGCAAATGACATGATTTTATTCTCTTTTAATGCTGAGTAATATTCCATTGGGTATATATACTACATTTTCTTTATCCATTCATCTACTGAAGGTTGGAGCCCCAATTTAGCTATTGTAAATTGTGCTGCTATACACATTGATGTGGCTGTGTCCCTGAGTACGCTGTTTTTAAATCCTTTGGGTATAAACCCAGGAGTGGGATAGCTGGGTTAAATGGTGGTTCCATTCCCAGTTTTCCGAGGAATCTCCATACTGCTTTCCAGACTGGTTGCACCAATTTGCAGTCCCACCAGCAATGTGGGACCAATTTGCACATCCTCACCAACACTTATTGTTGTTTGTACTCTTAATAGCGGCCATTCTGACTGGAAGTGAGATAAAATCTTAGAATAGTTTTGATTTGCATTTCTCTAATTGCTAGAGATGTTGATCATTTTTTCATGTATTTGTTGATCAATTGTATATGTTCTTCTGAGAAGTATCTGTTTAGTTACTTAGCCCATTTATTGATTGGGTTATTTGTGTGGTTTTTTTTTTTTTTTTTTGGCTTTCAATTTTTCTCCATTTCAAATGATGTTCACTGGGACTTAGCATAGACAGCTTTTAAAACATTGAGATAAATACCTGTTTTCCCCAGTTTTCCTAGTGTTTTGAACATAAAGTGGTGCTGTATTTTGTCAAATGCTTTTTATGCATCTATTGAGATGATTATAGGATTCTTATCTTTAAGTCTATTGATGTGATGAATTACATTTATTGATTTCCGTATGTTGAACCAACCTTGCATCCCTGGGATGAGCCCCACTTGATGGTGGTGCACAATCTTTCTGATATGTTTTTGTATTCGATTTGACAGAATTTTATTGAGAATTTTTGCATCTATGTTCATTAGAGATATTGGTCTGAAGTTTTCTTTCTTTGATGTGTCTTTGTCTGGTTTTGGAATCGGGGTGATATTGGCCTCAAAAATGAGTTTGGAAGTGTTCCCTCTTTTTCTATATCATGAAATAAATTGAAGAGTATTGGTATTAGTTCTTCTTTAAAGGTCTTGTAGAACTCAGCTATGTATCCATCGAGTCCTGAACTTTTCTTGGTTGGTAGGCTTCTAATGGCATCTTCTATTTTATTGCTTTAAATTGTTCTGTTTAAATCATGTATATCATCCTGGTTCAGTTTGGGCAAATCTTGTGACTCTAGATTTGTCAATGCCTTTGGTATTTTCTATTTTATTGGTACAAATTTTCAAATAATTTTTTTAATTATCTTCTGTATTTCTGTAGTGTTTGTTGTGATATTTCCTTTTTCATCATGATGTTAGTAATTTAAGTTTTCCCTCTCCTGATCTTTTGTCTCTCCTGATCTTCTGAGATATAATGTTAGGTCATTTATTTGTTGACTTTTTCTTCTTTTAAGGAATAAACTGCAGTGAACTTTCCTCTTAGTACTGCCTTCATAGTGTCCCAGAGATTTTGATATGTTGTATCTGTGTTCTCATTCACCTGTAAGAATCTTTTAATCTCCTCCTTGATGTCTTTTACTACTCATTGTTCATTCAGTAGCATGTTATTTAGTCTCCAGCTGTTGGAGTAGCTTTTATTTTTTATTTTATCACTGATTTCTAATTTCATTCCATCATGACCTGATAGAATGCAGGGTAGTATCTCTACTTTTTTGTATTTGCTAAGAGTTGCTTTGTGTCATAGCATATGGTCTATTTTAGAGAAGGATCCATGTGCTGCTGAGAAGAAAGTGCATTCACTCATTGATGGATGAAATATTCTACATTTGTCAATTAAGTCTAAGTTATTGATTGTTTTATTGAGTTCTACAGTTTTTTTGTTCAGCTTTTGTTTGGAAGATCTATCTAGTCGTAAAAGAGATGTGTTAAACTCACCCAAAAATTACTGTGTTGTGGTCTATTTGACTCTGAAATTTGACAAGAGTTTGTTTGATGAACGTGGATGCTCTATTGTTTGGGGCATAAATATTTATTATAATTATTATATCTTATTGATGTATTGTTCCCTTGAGCAATGTGAAATGTCCTTCTTTATCCCTTTTGATTAACTTTGACTTGAAGTCTGCTTTATTGATATGAGGATGGAAATCTCTGCTTCTTTCAGCAGTCCATGTGAATAATGTTTTTTCCAACCTTGCACTTTCAGTTTGTGGATGTCTTTCCCTATGATATGAGTCTCTTGGAGGCAGCATATTGTTGGATCTTTTTATTAAATCCAGTCTGCCAGTCTGTGTCTTTTGACTGGTGAGTTTAGGCCATTAACATTCAGGGTTATTATTGAGACATGATTTATATTTCCAACTATTCTTGTTTATTTTTGGTATTAAACTGACTTGATTTCTCCTTTGATTGGTTTTTCCTTTAGTGTAATACTTTCCTCTGCTGATTTTCATTGTTGTTTTTCATTTCCTCCTCGTGGAATATTTTGCCGAGGATGATCTGTAGTGACAGCTTTCTAGCTGTAAATTCTTTTAACTTTTATTTATCAATGGAAGGTTTTTATTCATCATCAAATCTAAAGATTAATTTTGCTGGATATAAGGTTCTTGGTTGACATCTGTTTTCTTTCAGAGCTTGATATATGTTGTTCCAGGGTCTTCTAGCTTTCAGAGCCTGTGTTGAAAAATCTGTGAATATACTAATTGGTTTCCCCCTATATTTGTAATCTGATTCCTTTCTCTCATGGCTCTTAAGATTCTCTCCTTATTCTGTATGTTAGGCATTTTCATTATAATGTGCCTTGGTGTGGATCTGTTGTGATTTTGTACATTTGGCATCCGGTAGGCCTCTTCTATTTGGTTTTCAAATTCATTCTTCATGTTTGGAATTTTTTCTGATATTATTTTATTGAACAGATTGCTCATTCCTTTGGTTTGGAACTCTAAGCCTTCCTCTATTCCAATAACTCTTTAATTTGGTCTCTTTATGTATCCTATATTTCTTGAATGTTTTGCTCATAGTTTCTCACCATCTTCACTGTGTGATCTACATTCTTTTCAAGATTATATAATTTTGTCTTCATTGTCTGAGGTCCTGTCTTCCAACTGGTCTAATCTGTTGGTTATGCTTTCTATTGAGCTTTTAATTTGGCTTATTGTTTCTTTCATTTCAAGAATTTCAGTTTGTTCTTTTTTTTTCCAGAACCTCCAACTCCTTCTTTTGCTTCCTATATTTGCTTATGTAGCTCTTTATTGAAATGATCTTTTGCTGCCTGTATTTGTTGTCTTACATCATCCTTTAATTCACAGAAAAATTTTAATTATGTATATCCTGAACTCCTTCTCTGTCATTTCTTCTGTTGTGTTAGCCATGGATTCTAATAATGTAATATTTTGCTTTGTTTGGGCACTTTTTTTTTCATGCTGTTTGTGTGTCTTTCCTTCTAGCACTGAGGATCTTCAGTTTTGCTATTTTTTATGTTTAAGCTTTTAGTGTCCCTGCAGGGTTCCAATACCTCTCCTGCCCAGCCGGTGTTCCAACCTGGGAGTTGCCAGAACTAAAGATGGCAATGACAGTGTTCCAAGATGGAGGTGACTACTTTCAGGTATGGAGTCTCAGGTCAAGTGCGGGGACCTGCAGTGGTGTTGGGTAATGTGTTCAAAGATGCAGCTCCCACCTAGTGCGGACTCTGCAGGTGTTGGTGGGCCTGACCTGGGCCTGCCTGTGCTCCGTGCTGGCTCAGTGGGGCTCTTGATAGGCATTTTTTAAAGTAACATGTTCCTTAAAGAAAAGTGTTCAAACCATCTTGGGCATTTTTGTAGTGTTTATTGGTATCTTTGTGACTTGTGCTAACTTCTGGTGTGCTTTCAACAGGTTGAACAAATTGTAGTTACCAACCATATTGAAAATAGCTCAAGGCACTTGTTAATTAAAAAGTGAATAATTGCAAAGACTTAATATCACATTCTTTTAAGTACCAGATTATCAGTGTGTACTCTGGCTCCTTCAGCTTCCCATACCTCCTGTTGATCACTTCTATGCTGAGTTCCCAACTGTGTTAGTCCCCTTTCCATCACTGTTACAGATACCTAAGATAAGCTGATTTGTAAAGAGAAAAGGTTTATTTTGGCTCAAAATTTGGAAGGTCTCTGTCCAAGATCAGTTGGTCCCATTGTTTTCAGGTCTATGATGAGACATGAATCATGGCAGGAGCATGTGGTGAAGCAAAACTACTCACCTCATGGCTGGGAAGCAAAAAGATAAGTGGATGGAGCCCCAATATCCCCTTGGAGGCACATACCCTTAATGACCCAAAGACCTCCCACCATCCCTACTACCTCCCAATAGCACCAAGCTGGCATCAAGCTTTTAACACATGGGTCTTCAGGGTACATTCCAGATATTATATATATTATATACATTATAGAAATGTAAATCTATAATGATAATATATATTACCACCATTGTGACAGCTCTTCTGAATGCAGGGACAAGGGCATTGCTTGCCCTCTGTTCTCTTCCTCTCAAAGATGAAATTGGCTTTCCCCTAGAGTTTACAAGGCATAGCAGATTTCTATAGATGTTGATGATTTATTGAAGTTTGGGGATAATGGATAATTGCACAAGGCCAGGATGTCTGGGGGTCCTGTCTCAGTACTTCTCTCTGCCTCACACACAGCTAACATCCATGTGGCCAAGGGGAGCTACCCTCCCACCTCTGGAATTGTTATTGGCATCTCCATATCTTTGACCCTTACTCTCTCCTAAGAGGAAAAGGGTTTCCCTTCAAGACAGACTAAAACTACTTCTGAGTCTTTGTTCCCTAACAGAGGATTGCTCTATTAAACAACCTGTACATTTATCTCTTTTTGTAGAAGCTTCCAACTCCACCCACCAAAGTGTGCTCTAATCCTGTTTTCCCCAATAGGACAATCATGTAAAAATATAGCCTTACTACTATTTTTCAAAGCCTGACTCAGTTGGTCTGAAACACAAGCAGTTATTTTGTATAAATTATATTTTGGTCCTTTTGCATTAAATATTCATGAAACCTGAAGGTCCAGTACTGCAAATTATCAGTTTATCACATTTTAAATAGTCAAGGCAATTTTCCAGACGCCATGGTAATTATAAAGATGGTCAAACAAAGTCCCTTAACGTGCATGTTTTGAATAGGAGAAAGACTTACTGATAAACTGTCGATAACTATTAGGAAAAGTTTGATGATCAGGTATATAGGTATGGTCACAGAATAAAAAGTTTTGTTACGAGAGGGGAAAAAATTAAGAGGTGTAGATCGAAAAGACTTCATCATGAAGGTGATATTTGAATTGGATTTTGAGGGACAGTAGGATTTCAACAGAGGGAGCTTGTGAGAAAGGCATTTGTAATGGAAAGAGGAAGCTGGGTACATGAAGTCAGGGCAGTGAGAAAAAAGTGAGCATGCTCAGGAAGTCCTGAGCCACCAGCTTAGTGACAGCCCTTATTATTAGGAAGAATGGCTAGAAATGTAATTAGAGGCCAGGGATAAGGACTTGAATATCTGCTAGGGAATTTGGAGAACTTCTATAAAGAGGGGAGAGAAGGAAGTGGTGTGTTAACCTGTGGATTGCCAAAAAGTAGCTAGGTCAGACAGATTTAATGCAATTCCTATTAAATTCCAATGACATTCTTCACAGAAATAGAAAAGGCAATCATGAAATTCATTTGGAAAAATTCGAGATCCAAAACAGCCAAAGCAATCTTTAGCCAGAAAAATAAAGCAGGAAATATCACAGTACCAAAAGTTAAATTATACTACAGAGCCATAGCAAAAAAAAGGCATGGTATTGGCACCAAAACAGATACATAGACCAATGAGACAGAATAGAAGACACAGAGACAAACCCACATAAATACAGTTATCTCATATTAGACAAAGGTGCCGAACACATACATTGGAGAAAAGAAAAGATAGCCTCTTCAACAAATGGTACTGGGAAAACTGGAAGTCCATATGTAGCAAAATGAAATTAAACCCCTATCTATCACCCTTAACAAAAATTAACTCAAAGTGGATCAAAGACTTAGGCACTAGAACAGAGACAGTGCACCAATAGAAGAAAAATTAGGCCCAAATTTCCACCATGTCAGCTTAGGAACTGACTTCCTTAACAAGACTCCTAAAACCCAAAAGGAAAATCAAGAATCAACTAATGGGATGGAATCAAACTAAAAAGCTTCTTCTCAGAAAAGGAAACAATCAATAACATGAAGAGAGAGCCTACAGAATGGGAAAAATCTTTACCACACATACCTCAGATAGAACATTAATCTCCAGGATATACGGAGAACTCAAAAAACTTAACACCAAAACCCCAAATAACCCAATCAATAAATGGGTAAAGGAACTGAATAGATACTTCAAAGAAGAAGAAAAACAAATATATGAAAAAATGTTCAACATCTTAAGCAATTAGAGAAATGTAAATCTAAATTACCCTGAGATTCCATCTTACTCCAGTCAGAATGATAACCATCAAGAATACAAGCAACAATAAATATTGGTGAGGCTGTGCAGGGAAAGGTACACTTACACATTGCTGGTGGGACTGCAAATTGGTGCAATCACTCTAGAAAGCAGTATGGAGATTTCTCAGAAAACTTGGAATGGAACCACCATTTGACACAGTCATCCCACTCCTAGATTTATACCCAAAGGACTTAAAATCAGCATACTACAGTGATGCAGCCATATCAATGTTTATAGCAGCTCAATTTACAATAGCTAAACTATGGAACCAACCTAGGTGCCCTTCAACAGATGAATGGATAAAGAAAATGTGGTACTTATACACAAAGGAATATTATTCAGCCTTAGAGAAGAATGAAATTATGGCATTTGCCAATAAATGGGTGGAACTGGAGAATATTATGCTAAGCGAAATAAGCCAATCCCAAAGAACCAAAGGTCAAATGTTCTCTCTGATATATGGATGCTAATTCACAATAAGGATGGTGGAAGAATAGAGATATTTTGTACTAGACAGAAAGGAGTGAAAGGAGGGGAGGGGACATGGGTGTAGGAATGATAGTAGAATGAATAGGACATCATTACCCAATATGCATATATGATTACATGAACTGTGCAACTCTACATCATTGTACAACAAGAAGAAAGAGAAGTTATACTCCATTTATGTATGATGCGTCAAAATGCATTCTACTTTCATGCATAACTAATTAGAACAAATTAAAGAAAATTTTTTAAAAAGGTAACTAAGGATGATGTAACCCTGTGGAGTTTTTGCTTGTTTTGTCTGTTAGACTAATGTTTTCATTATCAATGGAAAATTCTATAAGAAGACATTGTTTTGGTAAGACCACAGTACCTGGCAAGTGTATTTCCTAGGGTGAGTGAGCAGAAACATCTGCAAAGCTCCTAGAAAGTGCCATTTAATGTTGTGGTTGGTGTTGAGTATTGGGTTTATGGGAAGGGAATAGGAGGGATAAGTTCAAGTAGGAATTTCTCCTGAGAGTTTTCCTAGGAGCCTTGGTCAAATACCTTGGGGTGTGATGAATGGCAGGAAGAATATCCTTCCAGAGTTTGCACAAATTATATTTTTGTTGAATGTGCCAATATAAGTAATCCTGCTACTCTGATGCTATTATTTGTGCTTTTCTTTATCTTGCCCTACCACTCCCATCAATGATTCAGAATGTGAATGGCCTTTGATTAGCAAGCTGATAGACTGCTATGATACCAAGAAAAAAAAGGGAGAATTTCTAGGAGAGGAAAAACATTCATGTGCTCTTCTCCTCACTCTGTCTAGAACCAGGTCCTCCAAGCAGAGGTACATTAGGTTGTACAACTACTGTCTTATTCCATTGTGCTACTTTAACAAAATACCATGAACTGGGTAATTTTTAAGCAATTAAGATTTACTTGAGAGTTCTGGAGGCTGGGGAGTCCCAGATTGAGGTGCCAGCCTTTGGTGTTTGGTGAGGGCCTATTTGATGAATTCTTAGGTGGCAGAAGGTGCTGTGGCTGCTTTCTCACTTAGGGGAAGGCAAAGGCAAAAGGGACGAATCCCAAGTCCTCACATGACTGAAGAGCTGAAGAGAACAAACACACTAGTCCCATTCACAAAGGCTCTGCCCTCTTTACTTACTCACCTCCTGAAGGGCCCACCTCTTGTTACCATTGCGCTGGTGATTAAGTTTCAACATATGAATTTTGGATGACCTTGGAGATTTCAAAGGGTGGCTTGTGATCTGCTATAGACTGAATGTTTGTGTCCTATTTCAAATTTATCTGCTGAAGCCTTAATCCCTAATGTCATGGTTGGAGGTTGTGCCTTTGGAAGGTTAATTAGGTTTAGATGCAAGCTGTGAGTATATAGCTTCCATGATAGAATCAGTACCCCCAGAAAACTAGGAAGAGACAGGAGATCACTTTCTCTGTGCACGAAGGCACCATGAAAAGGTCATGTGAGGACATAATCAGGGAGAAGTCTTTACTATGCTGGCACCCTGATCTTGACTTCCAGCTTCCAGAACCCTGAGAAATAAATGTTTGCTGTTTAAGCCAACTGGTTCCATGGCAATTTGTCACAGCAGTCCAAACTGATGAAGACATAATCCATTTAGAGACGCAAGAAATGGTTTAAGAGATGTCGTATGGTTAATAAAAAGAATATCCAAAAATTTTGATTGTTTATGGCTTCATAGGAAGATGATTGGAAATGAGGACTGACTTGGAAAATCTGAATGTTGCTAAAGCATTAGGAAGAGTAGATTAGAAAGAGAGGATTGGGAAAGATGGGAAGCAAATTCTCCAGACACTGGCTAGGATGCAGACGCAAGTGGGAACAGCAGTCCAGAGGACCAGAGGAGACTGGCCTTGAACTATTCCTTCCCTAACTCCTCCTCACAACTCTGCCTTCCATGTATCTTCCCCATGTCAGTCCCAGGATAGACAGTCCAACATGGAACAGAGAATCGGCCTCCAACAGCTGCTGGTCTTTTCATAGAATAATAAAACGATCTGTTTGGTCTGGAAGATTTCCTTGTCCCCTTTCTCAAGGGCCCTAACACAAATCAGCCCCTCCTGTTGACACCGGAGCCAGCTTTTCCTCTCTCTTCCTATGGCTGTGGCATATGATTTCATCAGAGGGAGAACATTTCCTTTGGCACACCTCTACCACCCACTTGCTAGACTCAGTCAGCAGAGCAGTTTCCCTTCACCCAGCAGAACACTCGCTGCTGTTTTTAGGTAAGTCCTACCTTGAGGGGAGAGCAGGCTGCCAGGTCATGACAAACACTGGAGACAACTCCTTGAGTCTTCCCTGACAACGTGTTTCTGGGGGTGGGGATGCCAACCCAGTTTTAAAGGGATGGCAGGGCTGCAGATGGAATATGGAAATAAATGATTGCCCTGGGCCAATTCCACAGACAAATGCCGAGATAATTTCTGCTCAGTAAGAGTGTTATGTATTTGCTGGTCAGAATCTGCCAAAAAAGCTCAAGTTCATACGCTTAGAGCTGCAGTTCCCCTTCTGTCTATCTGGCTCCATTCAATGTTGAAATAGCCCATTTCCTTGTGCCTTAGGCTGAATAGTGTGGGGTCTTACATTCATAACTGAGGTGGTAATCAAGCTAATGAAGGAAGACAGAGGGAGGAGAGAGAGGCAGTTGAGTTGTAGGAATAAACATTGCCTGGCATGCTGGGTACATGCATGCCTGTATATGTTCAGCTTCCTACTACGGCATTTACTTTATGCCGTGAGTACAAAGCTTGCTGTTTAACCACAAGTGACTGACATTTGCCTCCCCACTTTTCTCCTTCTCCCTCTCCCTCCCTAGTGGAGGGAAAACAAGACTAACATTTTTCTTGTCCAAGCCTAAGCTATGATGTCCTTCACTGCCCACAAGAATAAAAAAAATAAAATAAAATAAAAAAAAGACTACAGACTTGAGAGCTGGATCAACAGCTCTCTCAAGGACACCCGATGGACGCTAATTGACTGTACCTACTGATAATATTTGGGTCCCAGCCCTTGTATTCCCCTTTAATAAGCCCTGTGTTTCTCCTTTGCTAGCAAATCACTAAACTTTTTATTTTTCTCAAAACCTTGTTCTCATTATTGAATTGGCAATGGAGACAGGGACAGAGCTTTTGGTGTCATATCCACTATTCACACGTGGCTCTTCCTCTTCGCGGAGTACTTGAAGCACATTTCATCTTGTGTTGACTTTCCATTTAGAAAACGTCTTGCCTGTTTCTCCCTGTGTGTCTCTTTTTATGAATTCAAGGGAGGTAAATATTTTTTTATCATCACCTAGGCAAAACATAATTAGAAAGGAGAATCCTCAAAACCATTGTGATATTTTCTAGAACTGAATGTGAGTGGTTTTGAATTGTTGTCCAACATGTTGAAGTGCCCTGTGTTTCTACTCATTTCCACATCAAAGAAACCAGGCATCCACAGTAAAGTACAAACTGGTCTAATGTTAGAGTAAGAGACGCCAAATTATATTTCTCAACTTGCATGCTGTTTTAAAATAGCTTTATTGATATATAATTCATATAATGTGCAATTCACTAATTTCAAGTGCACAATCCAATGATTCTTAGTAAAATCACAGATATATACAACTATCACCACAGTCCATTTTAGAACATTTTCTTCACTTCAAAAGGAAACTCCATACTTTTTCTAAGATCTACAGTAAAAATGAATCTTTTACTTATTTGTTTGTTTCCATTAATTATACATGACAGCAGAATGCACCATGATACGTCATACATAAATGGAGTATAAGTTCTCATTCTTCTGGTTGTACATGATGTAGAATCTCACCAGTAGGGCAGTCATATATGTACATAGGGTAATAATGCCTGATTCATTCTACTGCCCTTCCTACCCCCATACCCTCTCCCCTCCCTTCACTTTCTCTACCTAATCTGAAGCAACTTTATTCTTCCTTAGCTCCCCCACCCTTATTGTGAGTTAGCATCAGCATATTACAGAGATGCAGGCACATCTATGTTTATAGCAACTCAACTAACAATAGCTAAACTATGGAACCAACCTAGGTGCCCTTCAACAGATGAATGGATAAAGAAAATGTGGTAAATATATACAGTGAAATATACTCAGCCTTAAAAAAGAATGAAATTATGGCATTTGCTGGTAAATGCATGGAGCTGGAGAATATCATGTTAAGTGAAATAAGCCAATCCCCCAAAACCAGAGGCCAAATGTTTTCTCTGATATGCAGATGCTAACTCACAATAAGGAAACTTCATACTGAATTTCCCAATCCTATATAACCATGACCATGAAATAACCCCTAGTTCCCAATCTCAAACAACCTGCCATTTCCCATCTCTAAATAAGCACTAATCTACTTTCTGTCTATCTTATGGATATTTCATATAAAATGAAAACATAATATCTGGGGTCTTTTGTGACTGGTTTCTTTCTCTGGACATGCTTTCAAGGTTCATCTGTGTTGTTGTAGCATGTGTAAGTACTTCATTATTTCCATGGCCAAATACTATTCCCATTGAAAAGGTATACTACAATTTATCTGTTCACCACCTGATGTATATTTGAGTTGTTTCCAATTTTTTGTCTATTATAGACAATACTGCTTTGGACATTTCTGTACAAGTTTTTGTGTGGACAATGCTTACTGTTACAATCTCTATTGTCAATAAAGCCTTCATTTAGCCAACCATCCAATCATCTCTTTTATTTTTCTTTTTTTTAAACTCAAATTAATTAATTTTCATGTGGTGCTGAGGATCAAACCCAATGCCTCACACGTGCAAAGCAAGTACTCTACCACTGGGCTACAACCTCAGCCCCTGTTATTTATTTTCTTTGTCAAGTGTAGTAGATGTTATTGGTGCCTGCCTTCCACATTAATAAAAATAAGTGACTGAATAAATAAATAAGTTGGGGGGACAAATGAATATAATTCCAAATTATACACACACACACACACATATATATATATATATATATATACATATACATGCATGCATACACAATACACATGCACACATGCACACACATACACACACACACACACACACTCCATCCTCAAAGAGGTAGAACATAACCTCATACTCCTTAAATATGAGCTGCTCTTAGTTACTTCCTTCCAAAGAATGTAGTATGGAAAAAGAGAATAAAGGAAACTTTACAATGTAGATATTTGAAAAGTACAACCTCAGTCAGGTGATCAAGCCTAACATCAATGGTAATAAATTATATTGCTTGTGTATATACCTGATACGATGTGTGTACTTCACCTATGTGCTTTTCCTACTAAAAAAAAAAAATGCCTCTAATTATAAGAAAAACATCAGACCAATTTCCAGTTGCTAGAAAAATAAATCAGTTACACTTCAGAAATGTTGTACTGTCATTCACTTCATTTAGCTTCTTTGACCAAATACCCAACACTAATCCTCAAAACCATCAAAGTCATCAAAAAGAAGAGTGTGAGAAACTGTCACAGCTGAGACGAGCCTAAGAGACATGATGACTGAGTTTTGTGTGGTGTCCTAGGTGGGATAGGAAAAGGACATTAGGGGTAAAAAAAGTGAGTAAAACTTTAATGAAATGCAAACTTTAGTTAATAGCATATCAATAATGGTTTATTGATTGTAACAAATATACCATACTAATGGAAGATGCTAATACTGGGGGAAACCAGGTGTGGGGTGTACAGACCTCTGTATTTTTCCATAAATAGAAAACTATTCTAAGATGAAATATATTTTTTAAAAATAGATGAAGATATCATGTTAAAAACACAAATTAGTTGTTTTTCTATTTCTTAATCTCTTTTGCAGTTATCCATTTCTCATCAGCCAGAACTTCAGTGAGAGCAGCCTCGGACAACTTCTCCAAAGCAAAGAAATCAACTCCATGATGTTGAAGAGGGAAGAGAAAAGGGCAGTGGACTGAGACTTAGGAAAGCTCACTCCGGTCTCTAATTTCCCATGTAAGCAGGGGCAGCTCCTTCATCTCCCTGGATCTGTTTTCTCACCACACTGTAATGAGTGGGTTGGGATGGTCGAGGGCAGGGTTTCATCTACCCTAAAGTCTTGGCCTCCACTTGTTCAATCTGCAGATCTGGCTGCTGGACTGGACCAGACTGACAGCTCTCTTTCTGACTCACCGCATTTTGCCCATCAGCAGATCTTGTGATCTCTACATGAATCTAATCACTTCTCATTTCTGCCTCTGCTGCTCCTTTGGTCTGAGCAACCACTATTCTTCCTGGGATTATCCTAACAATGTTTAAATGCCTCTCCTTGCTTCTCTTTTTACCTACTCCCAATTCCTGACCCAGGAACAAGAATGTCCTTTTAAAACAAAAGTCAAATCATGTTACTTCTCTGCATAAAACACTCCAATGACTTCCTGTCTCACTCACTGGAAAGAACAGCCTTCTTTTCAATGGTCTCTAAAGCCTTATGTAAGGTGGACTTCCATTTATTTATGATCTCATCTCTTAACTCTCTCATCTTCAGTTTTTCCATCCACGTACTGAAATATGAAGTACATCTCTGCCTCAGGGCCTTTGAACTGCTATTCTCCCTGCATGAAATGCTCTTTCTCCAGAAAATCATGTTGGTTCTCTTATCTCTTTCAGTCACTTAACTAAAGAGGCTGTCATTGGATCATTTCATATAAAATAGCAACCTCCTCTCCATTCTACCTCCAGCACCACCTCCTGCACCATGCATTTACCCTGCTTTACATCTGTCTATAGCACTTATCACCATCTAATGCCCCACATTTGTTGAGCTGCCTATTTTTTTGTCTCTTGTACATGAAAATATAAGCATCTTGAGGAACAGAAAATTTACTATGTCCACTGTTATATCTCCAATGCCTAAAATTGTATCTGGAACATGATAGTTACTTAACAATCATGAGTTGAATAAATGAATTTCAAATGAGTAAATGCTTCTGTGGGTCTGGAACTTGTCTCCAATTATACTGTCAATGATTTGGTACAGGTCTCCTCCCTCTCATTCCTTAAAAAATTAAGTTAGACCTCCATTATTCAGGCTTAGATTTTCATACATTGAGGCTGTCACAGTCTTCTCCTGTGGTGGTGGGTATGGATTGTCCTCTCTGCTCGAATGAAGATAAAAGGAGAGAAATAACGATGCTAGAAAAATAAATCAATTACACTTCAGAAATGTTATATTGTCATTCACTTCATTTAGCTTCTTTGTGTCTAGCTCTTTTCCTTCAATTGAACATGAGCCATTTGTAGGAAAGGCTCTGTGTTATTCATCTGTACATTCTCAATCCCTAGGATGGTGCCTAGCACACAGAAGTTTATCCAGTCAATATTGGTTGATTCTGTTTTCTAGTCAATAAAAATAGAAGTACAAGGCTCGGGGTATAGTTCAGTGATAGTGCACTTGCTTTGTGTGTGCAAAGCCCTTATTGGTTCAATTTCCAGTACCAGGGAAAAAACAAACACAGAAGTACTAGGAACATGCTCTAGCAGATTAGTTGCATTTTATTTCTCTTTGGCTTTAGACAGAGATAAAATAGATTTTCAGTACGGGCATCCCAACTGGATATAAACATGACTGCAAAGACCAGGCTAGCACCAATGATCCCTTTGCAAAACAGAGACACGAGGATGACTCTGCTAGGACTTAAACTTTTCTGCTAGTTGTGGAAACTTAAGTTTCCTCATTTCCTAATAACCATGTTGGTGAATATTATTTTATCTTCAGGTCATGAACTGTAAGTAGTTTGAACTGAGATTCATACCCAGGTAGGCAATGTTGGTTTCAGAGATCGCACTCTTAAAGACACTACACCTTACTAAGTTCTAAAGGGTTAGACTTAAGTCTTAAAATAAAGTGCCACTTGAGTACAACATTTTATACCCAGGGCATTAAAAAAACTTCAAAAGACATGACATTGGCAATGCAGAATGTTATTTAGAAACTGACCCTGGGGTTGTGATGAGGCTTATCCTAGTCAATAAGTGTAAAGCACACAGAGCAAAGACTGGCACACAGGAAGAGCTCACTGGGCAGTGGCCATCAGCACCACCCTTTAGAAGCCATCTCAGGGGCCATTTCTTCAGCCTTAGTTTGACCAGCATGTCTAACAGAAGGGATTTCCTCTGAAAAATCCCTTTTTTCAGGGGAAAAAGGGAGAAAGAAGTAAAGATAGTGAGAAAAGAAAACCAAAATTCAGGTTGGTAGAAATAGAATGTCACCTGCAGCATGGCCATACATGACAGCTTCCTCTAGTTTGGTACTGTTTCCTTCGGGTCATTGGGTCACAGAATCACAGAACAGGATGGACCACAAAGGACTTGCACTAGCATTACACTCTTCCTCCTCACACTGCAGCCTGGCAAACCTTAAGTCCATGGGGCCAGGCTACATTGGCTGCCTTGGGACACAAACAGTAGCATTTGGGGGATAAGCAGGGCGGTGGTGTGGGGAAGGAGATTGAGGATAGAGTTTTCTGAGCTAATTTTGTGAATGTAAGAGTGTGCTTGCATGGGCTAGTGGGTGTCTGAATGAGTGAGGACGAATTAAAGAGACTGCATCGAGGGAGACATTAGACATGGCCTCCCACATGTTATTCGCTCTGCAAGTCCTGTGTGAAGTTAGATTTAGAATTGTCAAGTTCTGAAACAGGATCCATCTGCCACACAGGGGAAAGTCTGATTTCCTCAATGCTCTCAAAGCTCTTTACAAATATGATGAAGCTGTCATTGCCACGATCAGAGAAGGGCTTGTGTTGACTTCTCTGTTTCCTCCCTCCCTTGCAGAGCAGAGACTCCCAAGTGATGGACAGATGGTGGGGAATCCTCCCACTGCAACTCGGAGGCTGATGACTCTCATAATGAAGGCTGGCGAGTCAGTTTTGAGGACACCAGGTTTAGTCTTGGAGACTTTTTCTTTGCTTATGTCTTTTTCTTTGAAGCTGTGTCACTGCTTATTGGCACAGCTCTCCTTGCACTCCCTCCCCAGTCCTAGGTGACAGGACATGGCACTAAGCTCAACAGCTCAGATGGTTTAGTCCAACAACTGTTTAATTCAAATACATTTAGCTGTGATTCCAATAGAAAAATCTTGGTCCCTGATTGTGGGTGGAGTAACTGATTTCACTAGTCAACCTGCTTTATTAAGCAGGGCTTATGATGATCCAGCATATTTTGGAGGGAGATAGTTTTACATTTTATTTCTCAATTTTGTTTCCATAAAGACACAAACTAGTCTTCTTTCTAAAATGATCCCCAAAGGAATTTGCTGTGACTTTAAACATTTTCTATTAGTTAAGTAGAGATCCATGTACAGATGTGTATATGCATGTACACACACACACACACACACACACACACACACACACACTAGATGTTTCATATGAATCCTATCTGAGAACTTCAACATTGCTTTCACATTGCTCAGAAATGCTGGCATAAGAGAGAACAGCCCTGCCTTTCATTATGAAGGTATAATTATAAGAACTACTGATGATTTGTAACCAAGCAAGGTCTGACAGTGACAAGTCTAATTAGACATTGAAAGAGGAATGATCTACTTTTAGCTGATTCTGACTCTCTGATGAGAATTTTTTTCCTGAGTACAAACTGCTCACGTTTACTTAAATATTGAGACCAAATAAACTAGATAAAAGTAACATGAGTTTTGGTGATCCCACGGTAGAAATTCAACCAACTAGATAAATACATAAATATGTGAACATATACATGAGTGTGTTTAAAATATGTATGAATCTGCTTTATCTCTGCTTATGTATAAAAAACAAATACAACTGAATGGTATAGAGAAGCCAGACTGGCTAAGGAGCTCAAAAGCAGAGAAATGACCCAGTGGTAATTCCTTGCATTTTCTTTTTGCTTTGAATATCTCAGACCCAAGTCCGGGCTGAAGATGCTGGCAAACCAGAATCATGAATGGGTACAGACCGAAAACAACAACAACAACTAAAAAAACCCTCTAACAAAGGCCTGTTCTTCCTGACCAAAGGGCCAGGGAAAGGGCAGCCGAGCAAGACAGAAGATGTTCAGACAGGAAATACTCTACTTCAGCCAACACCACAGAAAACCCTGTGGCCCTGCCCCTCCTACGCCAGCAAAAGCCAAATAGGGAGCCCAGATTCCCACCCGCTACAGGCTGTAATTAAGTGTTCCAATTTCTCTCCCCTGTTGGGATTGTGTTTGAAAAGATCTAGTAGGAAATGGAAACTTCCTTCTTCCTGGGTGGTACTGAGGTTGCCTTCCCTCTCCCCTGGGGTGGTGTCAGAAGAGGCCTACTCTGGACTTTTATCACTGCCCAATTATAAAGAGTTCCCCTCACCTCATTGGAAGCCACAGTGCCTCTTGGTCAGTGGGTACCAGTGGAGCTTAGTGGGGAGCAGAAATTCCTAACCCTGTCAGGCAGTAACTAAGAACAACCTCAGTTTGGCCAAAGGAGGCCAAAGGGGGAACCTGGACTTCTACCCCCACCTAGAAGTAACAGGGTGGTGTCCCCTTCTTCCTGGGTGGAGCTGGGTCAGAAGAGGCCAGCTGAGACAGTCAGACAGAAGGCTTCAGTGAGATCAGAGTCTCGTAACACAATACTCCAAATGTCCAATATTCAATCAAAAATCACTTTTCACTCCAAGAACTAAGAAGTTCTCAACTGAAAAAAGAGAGGGAAAAAAAAATCAATAGATACCAGCAGTGAGATGACAGAGATGTTGAATTATCTGACAAAGATTTTAAAGCAGCCATTGTAAAAGTGCTTCAGTGGGCAGTTATGAACACACTTGAAACCAAAAAGGAAAGACAAGGGTTAGCTGAAAGATTTGGGGAGAACTCTTTATTAAGCATTTAAGAGCTGGGTGTATAACTCTGTGATAGAACACTTGCCCAGCAAGCTCAAGGCCCTGGGTTCCAGAACAGTACCACAAAAGAAAAAAAAAAATTAAAAATGGTTGTCAATTTCTACAGAGATGAAAATAAACTTGAGGTTTTATTTTAACTGATATAGAAATTTCACCATCACTAATGGACAAATTGAGAGGAAAGGTGAGTCATGGCATCCAGCCTTGACTCCTAAAAGTCTAGAATGCTTTGCATTAGGCCTAGCCAGTGGCAGATCAAGAGCAGGTAGTAAGTAGTGTGTTAGTACCAAAGTCCAGAAGGGAGGCCAAGAACAGAGAAGGAAAGTTATGTTCACCTGAGGGAGATGGAACTGGACACCATCTCCAACTAAACGGCCTGTGCCTAGTGTCCAGGGTAGCTAACCAAGTGGGAGAGATTCTAGGTGGAAGGGTGCTGCAGAACCTTAAATTAGGTTGTTCTAAAGGAGACTTGGGCAGAGCCAGAGAAGGTGGGGAAGATCATCTAAATTAAATCATTAAACTATAGAATTATCATGCAATTAGTAGTAGAAATGGGGGAGCTGTATAATATTAAATCCATTAACAATTCCCCGCATATATGGAGCCATAGCTTTTTACTCTATCATCCAGAGATGGCAAAGACAAGAGTGTCTGATACCTTCCTTGGTGTCTCAGCTAGCCAGGCCCATGGCTATCAAATCCTGGTCTCTGGGTCTCCCATTTTTGCAGACATATTTACTTCATTATGCCTTCATGTCATCTGATCTTAATGAGTAGGTCTGTATTTTTACCTCCCAGGAGGTGGCAGCAGGGGGTGGAAGGTGGTGGTGGAGGAAATGGCAGAGGGCTAAAAGTGGAGTATGAACAGCCAGCTGACCTCTTGGCGTCTATGCTGCCCAGCATTTCACCACATGCTGTTGGACCCCCTTCAACCTGATTATTAGATGTGACCACTCATGCTGATCAGTCTTTATTGTGATTGGCACAGTTCCTTGCTTTGTAGGACTATTTGGTCTACTCACAGTTCCTTCTATTCACCCTTCCACGTTCACGTAGAAAGACT